CGCCCCCATGGTTTAATTACCTCCCACTGGGTCGCTCCCATGATACATGGCAATTATGGGAGCTACAATTTAAGATGAGATTTGAGTAGAGACACAGCCAAACACTATCAGAAACCTCTTTTTTTTTTTTTTAATTAGCCTCAGGTATTTATTATAGCAATACAAAAACCACCTGCTGCACAAAGGATGATAGATGAGCTGAGATAACTTCTCTGCCCTAACACAACTCTAGCTGACTCCTAAACCTTGCATACACACAAAAAAATGGCAGGGAGTATCTATTGTATGTATTTTCAGTAAGAATTGAAAGCTTAGGGGGACCTGTGAATTTGCTGTGACTTTGATTGCATTCCTCAATCCACATACAACTTGGGTAGCAGAACGTAATTTTTGTAAGAAGCCTTACTGGCTTGAGGTATTTGAGTAGAGCCTTGCCCAAAATTATTTGCTGACGGCTAACCTATACAGGTGCAGTGGATACTTGCTAGGGAACCAGACTAAAAAAAAAAATTAAAACCGAGTAGAGACATTAGTGGCTACACACTGTGGGGAGATACATTTCACAGTTCGAGTCCAGGCCAGTCAATTGATTGCTATCCCAACCAATAACCAACAACCGTCAGAAGAGCAAAACAAAATCCACATTTGCCCCAACATATTGCACACAATGTCCTGCTTCTGTCTAAAAATTATTAGGTGTGCAAAGAAACTGAAAAGAATGTTTCATACTCAAGAAAAAAGGACTTAATAAACAGGTACTTAGTAAACACAAATATTCGATTGAGCAGACAAACATGTGGAAGCAGCTGTTATAAATATGGCAAATATTTATATTTGCTTAGCATATTTAGCAATATGAAAGGTGTGAAGGTAGCTGAAAGGAAAAGGAAACTGTAACAGTAAGTATATTTAGGAAAGACCCACAGTAAAATTTCTTAAAAAGTATTATAATTGATATCAAAAACTCAGCCAGTGGTTTAACACCAGATTAGGTACAACTTGAAGATAGAATTAATGAACAAAAGAGAGACGACAAGAAAAACCTGTTATGTAGCACAGAGAGACAAAAGGCAAAAAATATAGAAGAGAGAGTAAGAGACGTAGAACATCGACTATCCATTGTATGTTTAATCAGACTTCCAGGAGGAAAAGAAAGGAGCATGGGCAATATTTGAAGAGATAATTGTTGAGAATTTTACAAAAGTGATGAAGAACAGCAATCTATAGATTCAAGGGACCCAGTGATTTCCAATTCGGTGAAGCCCTAGCAAGAAAAATAAAAATAAATCCATACCTAGACACATGCAAGTAATACTGTAGAATAAAAAGTGGGGATAATCTTAACTGCAGCTGAAGAAAAATGACAGAGTTCCTTCAAAGGAACAGCAGTAATGGAAGTCTGAAGACAGTGGAACAATATTGCCAATGTGTGCAAATAACTGTTGATCCTAGGACTTAATCTCAAGTGAAAATTTCCTTTAAGAATGAAGGCTAAGATAAATATGTTTTCTGACAAACACAAACTGGGATAGTTCAATACTAATGGGTTTTTTTATTTTTTATTTTGATTTATTTATTTTTTTTGAGATGGAGTCTCGCTCCATCGCCAGGCTGGAGCGCAGTGGCGCAGTCTTGACTCACTGCAACCTCTGCCTCCTGGGTTCAAGCGATTCTTCTGCCTTAGCCTTCCAAGTAACTGGGATTACAGACATGCGCCACCGCGCCTGGCTAATTTTTGTATTTTTAGTAGAGATGGGATTTCACCATGTTGGCCAGGCTGGTCTTGAACTCCTGACCTCGCGATCTGCCCGCCTCGGCCTCCCAGAGTGCTGGGATTACAGGCGTGAGCCACCGTGCCTGGCCCATAGTGGTTTCTTATGAAAAGAAATTCTACCTGTATTCAGGTAGAAGAAAATGGTCCCACATAGAAGGCCTAATTAAGTTCAATAAGACTTATTAGTCTTATTGTCTGAATAGTGAATATTCAGATAACGCTTAAATGAATATTAACTGTAAAGCAATAGAAATAATACTTGTGGGATTAAAATAATGTAATTAAATTATAGATTAACAACACATGGGATAAAAAGGGTCACTTCTACTTTGGGAGGCGGAGATGAGAGGATCCCTTGAGACCAGCCTAGGCAACATAGTGAAACCTTGTCTCTACAAAAAATTGACCGGGCATAGTGGTGCATCCCTGTAGTAGTCCTAGCTACTCAGGAGGCTGACGCGGAAGGATCACTGAAGCCCAGGAGTTCGAGGTTACAGTGAGCTATGATCACACCACTGCACTCTAGTTGGGCAACAGAGCAAGACCTGTCTTAAGTAAATAAATACATACATACATACATACATAGTCATTTCATAAAGTTAAAAAGATTTAGTTTGTGTAACAACATGACTTCAAAATAGTAAATATTGACAGATCTTCAGGGAGAAATGGGTAAATCTGTCATGGCTCTCTATATATTAATCTATGAAACTATTTTATTTTTTTGACCTTTTCTGTGTATAATATTGAGCAATTACATACTTTTTCAAAAAATAACTTTCTGTCTTATTAAAAGTTGTTTGACAACACTATTTTATTTTATTTTTTAAGAGATGGGATCTTACTCTGTCTCTCAGGCTGGAGGGCAGTAGTTCACTGAAGCCTCAGACTTCTAGGCTCAAACAATCCTCTTGCCTCAGCCTCCCAAGTAACTGGAACTACAGGCACACGCCACTCAGCCTGGCTAATTTTTAAAAGATTTTTTTTTGTAGAGACAGGTTGTTGCTTTGTTGTCCAGGATGGTCTCAAACTCCTGGGCTTCAAGTGATCTCCTGGCTTGGCCTTCCAAAGTTCTGGGATTAAGTGTGAGCCACTGTACCTGGCCAACAACACCATTTTTAATGACAGCCTCATTTTTAATTATTTCTGGTTTTAATTTGACCTATTTAAAATTTGAAACATGCATGGAATTATGTTGCCTGAATATCTGTTTAACCCATCCTCAATTTTTAGACACTTGTTTTCAGTATTTTTCTATTGATATTATTATGAGTATCACTATAGATAAGTGTTTTCATATACCAGTGTGTATTTTTTTGAAATAAATTCTTATATGTTTATGGTGTCACAATACATATATAATTTTTTGTTTGTTTGTTTGTTTTTAAGACGGAGTCACATTCTGTCACCCAGGCTGGAGTGCAGTGGCGCGATCTTAGCTCACTGCAACATCCGCCTCCCGGTTTCAAGCAATTCTCCTGCCTCACCCTCCTAAGTAGCTGGGACTATGGGCGTGGGTCACTGCGCCTAGCTAATTTTTGTATTTTTAGTAGAGACAGGGTTTCACCATGTTGGCCAGGCTGGTCTCAAACACCTGACCCCAGGTGATCTGCCTGCCTCGGCCTCCCAAAGTGCTGGGATTACAGGCGTGAGGTGTGATTGTATATGTAGGCACCCAGCCCTACATGCACAATTTTAAGGCCTTTGCCAAGTGGCTTTCCGGAAGTCTGTCATTTTCAATTCTCACAGCAGTATGTGAATAAGCATATCCATCTATGTGAATAAGTGTATCCAGCACTATACCTTATCATTTTAAAATATTTTGTTTGATGCAAAAAAAAAAAATGTTATTTTGATGTACATTTTCTTCATTGTTAGTGAGATTAAACTTTCTTAGATTTTTTTTAGAACTCCAAGATGGTTGTGTTCACATTTATGTCTATTAAATATCTATTTAAAGTTTTCTGTAAGCAATCAGATAACCAGATTTAGTGAGAATTGTACATCAATAGAGTCATTGAGATTCTGGGTAGATTCTAATGTGAGGTTCACTGCTTCTGTGTTTCGGGTGCTATGAGTAAAAACCCCTTTTCAGATAGGAGCACTCAAACATCAAAGGCAAAGTGGGTATAGTTAGCGTAATGGACAGAAAGTCATGGCAACAATTGGAATAATCTGAGTTATTCAGTCATATGGTGTTTGCTAGTTGATCATGGTGTTGTCTAGAAGTGAAATAGATAGCAAGCCTGCTAAAATCTTACTTGATTTGTATAAGCAGAAAGTTCTGTCAAGTGAATAAAAGTTGAGCTTGCATCATAAAAACAGAGAGTCCTGGCCCTTCAATTCTCACACTTGAGCCTTTGTAGACCCAGGAACCCTTGAATGAAGGAAAGGGCAGATGCCCTCAATGAAAAACCCTAGTATGCTACCTAAAATTTATACTGTTAATCTTTCTCCCAGCCTTCCACAAAGGGAACCATGGCCTTTCTCAGGGTAACAGTTCCGCATGTGCACTGGGGAAAAGGAAATAATCACCCCTTTTGGGACTGCTGGACACTGGTTCTAAATGAACACCAATTCTAGAAGACCCAAAACATCACTGTGGCCCTCCAGTTAGAGTAGGGGATGGGGTCAGGTGATCAATAGAGTTTTAGCTCAGGTCCATCTCACAGTGGGTCCAGTGGATCCCTGAATACTTCCTGTGATTATTTCCTGAATTCCAGAGTGCTTAACTCAAATTAACACACTTAGCAGCTGACAGAATCCCCGCTTTAGTTCCCCAACATGTGAGTTGAGGCTATTTTGGTAGAAAAGGCCAAGTGGAAGCCATTAGAACTGCCTTTATCTGGGAAAATAGTACATCAAAACCAAAGACAAACCAGAAGTCTTTTTCATTGACTTACAGGTCTGTAGCTATTCTGTAGAACTGAGGAAACCCAGTGACTAATTTCTATCTAAGTGCACTATGCCTGTGATGTGACAACTTTTATAATCTTCCATATGTGTGAGCAGAATCTCTGGGCATTATTTTCTAAAAAGACACAGAAGCTTCAGAACTATCTCCTTGTAGTGACCAATGCTTTGTCTTCTGAAACTAAGTAGTTTTGGGAAAATGTTACCAGTATGTTTAATATTTAGTTTGGAATATTATAATTTGGAGTCAACAGGCCCACAATAAAATTATTAGTGTATTGGGGAGAGTCTTAATTTTCTTTTTTGTTTCTAGAAACCACCAAGTTTTACATGACAGAGATAATCATTCAGTCATCTGAGAGGAGTTTCCCCATCATACCAAGGTACAAATAGCAAATTACATTTATTTGTAATTTCTTTTTTTCCCCTATTCAGACCTTTTTTTTATTTTTAATTTTTTGGTTTTGAATTTATTTTTTATTTTAATAGGTTTTTGGGAACAGATGATGTTTACTTACATGAATAGTGATGATTTCTGAGATTTGGGTGCACCCATCACCCAATCAGTCAGTGTTCACTGTACTCAATGTGTAGTCTTTTATCTCTTACCTCTCCCCCCGCCTTTTCCCCAAGTCCTCAAAGTCCATTGTATTATTCTTATGCCTTTGCATCCTCATAACTTAGTTCCCACTTATGAAGGAGAACATATGATGTTTGGTTTTCCATTCCTGAGTTATTTCAATTAGAATAATAGTCTCCAATTACATCCAGGATGCTGTGATTGCCATTATTTCGTTCCTTTTTGTGGCTAAGTAGTATTGCATGGTATATATTTGTAATTCCAAATTTAGGAAAAAGGCAGTACAATTGATGATATGGGAATTCATTTTTATTCATACCTTTCTTTATTTGGAAAAGGAAAGAGAAAGCCTTTTAGATAGTTGAACCAAACCACACATATAAAAGATTTGAGGATTTAAAAAAATGTTTTGCTCCATATAGTGCTGTAGACAAATGTGCTCTTATAAATCTTCTAATTCTGAAAGTTTTCTATGCTTATTTCTATGTGCCAGATATCTAGAATTTTATCACCTAGTCACCAATAAGTTTTTTGAATAGCTTCTGGTTTTAATTTGAATTATTTAAAATTTGAAACATAGGTCAGTTTCAAATGACTCCTGTGTTTTAAAAACATGGTACTTAGCCCCTAAATCTATTAGTGTTTTTATTTCTTTGACTCTTTTTAGTTTGCAAACAAGTTAACCATGATATGCCTTTATTCCTGTTTATTTGTTGATATCCTAAAATTATGGCAATCTGAGTATAGCCTTGAACTTTATCGTTATGTAAATACTTGGATTCTGTACCTCAGAGCTGACACTTTAGGGACACTTTCCATCCAAATGGAAGAAAATGTAGACAATACTGTCTGATGTTTGGAAGGAAATTTCTTGCCTCCTTTTGTAAGTTAGTTATTCTCTGTTTAATATGCTACAGCACAAATGGAGTATTGACTTGTTCTAACATGGTATTTTTTTATTCAGTAGGGGTGAATAGTTAGGTTTGGTGTGGAAAGTGTATTAAGGATTGGAGAATAGATTTGAAGAAGAATGGAGCAAAGCTGAATACATTAAACTATATTAAAATCCACATCAGTGTGGATTGTGAGGGAATGAGCAGTACATAGAAAAGTCTGGAATGTGGATGTCTCTGCCTTTTAGGTACCCTGTGGGTATTTTTGCTTATCTTACCAGTTAGAGTTATTATGAGACACACGTTTTGAAAATTGATTTCTGTTCAAACAGGTCTCAGTTTGTCCAGAGCGTGATCACCCAGTGTCTGGTGCAGCTCTCCTCTGCTAGAAGTACTTTTAGATTCAGGATTCAAGGTCAGGACGACAAAGTGTATATCTTGGTAAGAAATTATTTTATCCAGCTTTTGTAGCCTAGGAATCCAAGGTCTCAGAATTCTTTAGTTTTTTCATTTTTTTTTCTTAATTCTCAGGTGTGGAAAATAAGTGATTAAAAATGTTAATATCAGGCTGGGCATGGTGACTTATGCCTGTAATCCCAGCCCTTTGGGAAGCCAAGGTAGGGGGATCACTTGAGGTCAGTAGTTCGAGACCAGCCTGGCCAACATGGGGAAACCCCATCTCTACTAAAAATACAAAAATTAGCCTGGTGGATGGCCCATGACTGTAGTCCCAGCTACTCAGGAAGCTGATGCAGGAGAATCGCTCGAAGTCGGGAGGTAGAGGTTGCAGTGAGCCAAGATGGTGCCACTGCACTTAAGCCTGGGTGACAGAGCAAGACTCCATCTTAAAAAAAAAAAAAAGTTAATATCAGTTTAATTCATAAATCAAACTCCCTTAATTTAATAGCAGATGATCAAGTGCCTCTATGTACTAGTTACTAGGGATACAGAGAAAATTCCTGATTCCTGCTATTTAGAAGCTCATACCACAAAATCAGGGTTTTTTTTTCTTTGTTTTGAGATGGAGTCTCGCTCTGTTCCCCAGGCTGGAGTGCGGTGACACGATCTTGGCTCACTGCAAGCTCAGCCTCCTGGGTTCACGCCATTCTCCTGCCTCAGCCTCCCAAGTAGCTGGGACTACAGGCACCCGTCACCACGCCCAGTTAATTTTTTTGTAGAGATGGGGTTTCACCGTGTTAGCCAGGATGGTCTCGATCTCCTGACCTCGTTATCCACCTGCCTCGGCCTCCCAAAGTGCTGGGATTACAGGCATGAGCCACTGCGCCTGGCTAAAATCAGATTTTTTACTCTCAGTTTGTAATGGCTTTTTTTTGGTCACTATAACACTATTCTGTCTCACCTTTTTTTTTTTTTTTTTTTTTTTCTATTTCGTACTCTTATGTTTAGAATATGTCCTATTGCTCCTGTTTGTTTTTTGTTTTTTTGAGATAAGGTCTTACTCTGTCACACAGGCTGGAGTGCAGTGGCAGGATTATGGCTCACCACAGCCTCGACTTCCCAGGCTAAAGTGATCCTCCCACCTCAGCCTTCTAAATAGCTGAGACTCCAGGCCTACTCCACCATTCCCAAACAATTTTTTAATTTTGGAGATGAGGTCTTGCTATGTTGCCCAGGCTGGTCTTGAACTCCTGGGCTGAGGTAATCCTCCCACTTTGGCCTCCCAAACTGTTGGGATTATAGTGGGATTACAGGCATGAGCCACCATACCTGGACTTCTTTTGTTGTTTTTAGTTGCTCTGATTCTGTGATATTTGAGAAATAGTGGCAATTTTTGAGGAAGAGGCTTTGTGGCTAACAATCATCCCAGCATGTACTACTAGAGCCTAATATTACACTGCCTCTATTAAAAATAGTGTCCTTCAGAAACAAATTTTGAGCATTTATCTGGATAACCAAGAATCATAGCCCAAATATCCTCTCTACTTCTACATCTATTTTATTCAACCAGTAAACATGTATGGAGCACTTCTTATATGATAGACACTGTTCCAGGTGCTCAAGGTAGTGCCCAAATGCCTTTATGAAACTAAAAAGCTAATATGGAAACATAGTAACAAAAAAGAGGGAAGGGCCTGAGGTTGCTGTTAGGTGTGACTCTGTAGCTGGCCATCCCTTATGAGGACCCTATGCTCTTCTAATTGTAGATAATTTCTATGAAAACCTAAAATATTTTCTGACTGATTTTGATACTAAATATACCTCACAGTTATCTGAAATCAGTTTTAGTTTTTATTTTATTCTAAGATTTCAAATTGAAAATCAGGAGTAGGAACTTCTGAAACTTTCTAACATATATTTAGATTTTTCTTTTTTATAAAATATTCTTGAAACACAATCAGGGACCATGAAGAACATAAAATGTTCCTTTTCTTGCCTTGCTATATCATACTATTCAGGGGGCAATCAGTAATAACAGTCTGATATGTGTACTTCATTATTTTTATTCTTTCCATATACGACTATATATATGTACACTCACAGGTGTTTATCTATTTGTAAAAAAAAAAAAAAAAAAACCAGTATCATATGATTAGTGTTTTTCTGCAACCTGCTTGCTTCACAGTATGTATCTTGAGGATTGTTTTTGTTAGTTTAAATGTAGGTCTGGCTCTTTAATGACTGGAATTTTGCTGTATGGCTGATAAGACTGAACTGCAATGAAAATAATCTTTGCCTGTATCTTTTAGTACTTCTTTATAAATGGATCTTTCTAATGTAATATAGTATTAGAATTTGTGTATTTGAAACTCAGGTAATTATCACCTTGCAAAAAAAGTTGTACTAATTTATCTTTTATAGTAGGCATTCTTGGTGTGCCACCCAGACCCCATACTGGGTTGATGCACCCATTCCCAGCTGCTGACAGTGTTGGCTAATAATGGCTCACAGCTGCCCCCTTCTCCAGAGACTTCCTTTTCAGATGACAGGGGTTGCCTTGCCCAGAAGTTACCTGTCTGCCACAATCCCATCTCCCTGACTTACCCCTTCTTGGTCAGCCCACTGCCAGTGATTTGATCCTGGGGCACAGAAAGCTAGGGACTCTTGTCTCAAAGTAGAACAAACTCTGTAGGTGGGATTCATGCTGTAGAACTCCCCCATTGATCAGGCCAAAACCAGACTCCAGATGATTCTATATCCTTAATTAGCTCTTTCCCCTTCCTTATCCCATTTCCTTCACTTTTCTCCTGTGAGTTCTCCCTCAGTGAATCACATGCATCCAAATCCCAAAACACTTTACCAGCAGTGTATTGGAATGCCCACGTCAAACCCCTTTTCTGAACTAGATGTTATCAATCCTTTTATATTTGCCAATCTGATCAATGAAAAATGGTGGCACACAATTTCACATTTATTAGTTACATTAAGATTCTAATATATGTTTATGTATCTTTTATTTCTTCTGTTAATTCTGTTCATATTCTTTGCCTGTATTTCTCTCGGGCTGTTTTACCTCCTTACTGAAGCTCTGTATATTATAGATAATAACGTTGTTACTTATGCGTATTTTCTCTGAGTCAGTTGTCTTTTTTTTTTTTTAACTTTATGTCAATTGCTCTACCAAGTGTTATATTTTGAAAGGCCTACCTAGCTTTAAAATTATGTACATGATTCTCATATTTATTTTTTCTGGGATTTTCATAGTCTCTTTTTTGTTTTTGAAAAGTCATAAGATGTGGATAAGGTGACAATATTCTTATACTTGGACTTTCTCTTCACATCTTTAGCTGTGGCTTTTAAATTCAGACAGTTTGGTGATTGAATCATTGAGAAATTCTAAATATATCAAAAAATTCCCATTGTTGGAAGACACATTGAAAGCAGATTCTAGTTCTGCCTGGAGTGCTATCAAGGTCCTCTACCAGCCATGCATCAAAAGCAGGAATGAAAGGTAAGTTGTGCATTTGTTTTCTCATCCACATTATGTTTTATCTTTTGTTGTCATGTTGGTGTTAAGAAATTAATGAATTAAATGCCACTATACCCCTTCCCTGCTTGAAGCTTCTAGGAGCCATACTGCTAAATATTATATGTTTAAAATAGGTTGAATTATTACAGATGATTCATGCTAATATGCAGAAAGCTTGCTTTTACCAAAAATTATTTTTTTTTCTTGTAATCTAAGCTGTCTGTACATATGGCTGCAGTACTAAATCCGACTTCAACAGTGATGAATATTTACCAATAAGCACTTTCCAGGCATCAGGATACAATAATGAACAAAACACAGCCCCTACCTCTTAGCATTGTTGTTCTAATGGGGGAAGGCAGACCATAAACAAAACAGATTCTTATGTCTCTTACTATGTGTCAGGCACTCATCTAAGAACTCATAGGTCATTTAAGCCTAACAACAACCTGTGTGGTAGGTACTATTATCATCCCCATTTTAAAGATAAGCACACTAAGATACTGGTAGTAAATTACTCTAGTGAAAAATGAAACAAGGTAAGGTAGTTGGCGAGGGGTAGGATGGGAGTAGGATGTTGTCATTTTATATTGCAAAGTCAGGAAAGATTCCTTAGATGAAGTGATATTTAAGCAGATAACTTGAAGGAAGTGAAATGCTGAGCCATATCTGATGGAAGATCATTCCCAGAAAAGGAAACAGCAGGTATTCTTATTGTAACAGAATCAAAGTTTGTACTTGTCCTGTACTCTCAGATGGGTTTGATCAAATTTGTCCTAAGGACGGAAGGATCTTAGTCTTTTTCTGGAAAGTAAATAAGACATTGAAAAAATTAATTATGTTTCTTATGCAAGTAGTACCAGTCATAAAAGATCCAAACACTAAGAGACATATGTAAGGTAAAATTATATCCCTCTCCAGAAGTAAAACGTTTGTTGTGTACTCTTCCACTTCTTTTTCCATTCATTTTGCACCTAAACGTGTATTTTTTTACACTTAAGCCCATGTCTTAGAGATTCTTTCCATGTCAGTGCTTGACATTTTGTGAAATGGAGGTACTATAAATTACTTAGCCATTTTTCTTTTAATGGATGTTTGGTTTATTACTTTTTTGCTGTTATAATTAGTGTTGTAATCTTGTATATTTGTTTTCTGATTATAAGTTTTCTATATTAGAGGAATTTCTAGAGATACAATTGTTGAGTCAAAGGGTATGGACATTTAAAATTTTGAGAGGTAGTATCAAATTATTTTGTAAAAAGGTATCATGAATTTATACTCCCACCTGAAGTTTTTATAAATGTCCATTACCCTGAATTCTCACTGAAATTTCCATTTAGATTTTTGCCTATCTGATGTGATTCTAAAGGAAACAGGTACTTGACACTATCCTTATATTTTATTGAGGCATGTTCAATGGATGCATCTCAGTTTTATGCTTTTGAGACTCTTTTTGAGGGCTTGGAATTTTTTTTTTTTTTTTTTTTTTGGTGCCCTTATACGTAGTCAACTATTAAGCTCTACATTGATTATATTTTCTTTTGATGTCTCTGTGTGTGTGTGTGTGTGTGTGTGTGTATCTTTATATATTTAGGTTTATATCATCAAATTTATTAAAACCCTTTATATTCATCTTTTCTATTTATTGAAATGTGGACTTTTCTGACAGGTATGTTGAATCTTACATTATGATTATGTAAGTAATTTTCTTCTGTTTTGATTCTAGTTTTCACCTTATATATTTTAAAGCTGTATTGTTAGAGAAATAAAAGCATGACAACTAATTGAGTATACTATCAATAGGAGATTTTGCTCTTCTTCAATTTAATGCTAGTTTTTGTTTCATTCTAATTTGCTGTGATGGTTAATAGTAAGTGTCAACTTGATTAGATTGAAGGATGCAAAGTATTGGTCCTAGGTGTGTCTGTGAGGGTGTTGCCAAAGGAGATTAACATTTGAGTCAGTGGGCTGGGGAAAGGCAGACCCACCCTTAATCTGGGTGGGTACCATCTAATCAGCTGCCAGAATGGCTGGAATATAAAGCAGGCAGAAAAACATGAAAAGACTAGACTGGCTTAGCCTCCCAGCCTACATCTTTCTCTAGGGCTAGATGCTTCTTGCCCTTGAACATTGGACTCCAAGTTCTTCAGCTTTGGGATTAGGACTGGCTTCCTTGCTCCTCAGCTTATAGATGGCCTATTGTGGGACCTTGAGATTGTGTGAGTTAATATGATCATATATGTGTGTGTGTGTGTGTATATATATCTTCATATATATGAAGATTTATATATTTATATATGAAGAGATATATATATGGCTTTTTATATATGAAGAATTAAATATATGTATAAAAAGATTTACAAATATATGTCTATATATTCTATTAGTTCCGTCCCTCTAGAGAGCCCTGACTAATACGGATTTTGATACCAGGAGTGGTTCTAGAGGAACAGAATATTAAGGATAGAGTTCTTTCATTGGTTTTGAGGTTTCTGGAGTTGGTTGCTTAATATGATTACATCCAAAAATGCTAAGGTCTCTACTTCTGATAACATGGAGAACACTGATAGTCCTTGGCATGAACTGTTAACAGAGTTATGCACAGTAAATACATTTGACACTCCTGATTCACTGTTCATGAGAGGCAAGGAGTTTAGTGACCCTCCGCATAATGCCTTTGACTATATTAAGGAACATAATGAAGTTGGTTGGTTGCTCCTAAGTTCATTGGACAAAGTGATGAAAGAAAATGATGAACTCAGGGATTCTAACTCCCAGCTTCAGAAACAGATACGGAGCCTCAAATCTGCTAAGATTGCCTTGAGTGAGAATCTTATCTCCTGTAGAGAAAGAGTTGAAATTGTGGAAAATCAGACACAAGTTTATCATGTGAGTGACTGACCTGCAATGAAAAGTGTATGCACAGCCTCACCAGGTGTCTACTGTTAAAGTGAGGGGATTAATCGGGAAAAAATGGGACCCTGAAACTTGGAATGGGGATATGTGGGAGGACCCTGATGAAGCTGGGGATACTGAGCTTATAAACTCTAAGGAACCTTTCTTGCCAGAAGACACAGCTTCCCCATCCCCAGTAGTGGCAACATCCCCTTTCCAACCCATGCTGCCATCAGCATTTCCACCTTTGTCTGAGGAGATAAACCCTTTACTGCCTGAGGCAATAGCGATGGCCTCCCCAGAGGCAGTTTCCAAGCAAGATAATGTTGATTCTCCTCAGGAGCCACCCCCAAAACCTCTGTTTGCTTCTAGACCTATAACTAGACTAGAGTCTCGGTGGACCACTAGAGGTGAGGTTGAGAGTAAGACCCATGAAGAGGTGTACTACAAGCAAAAAGAACTGCTTGAGTTTTCTAATGTATATAAACAGAAATCTGGAAAACAGGCATGGGAATCGATATTAAGGGTGTGGGATAATGGTGGAAGGAATATAGAGTTGGATTAGACTGAATTTATTGATTTGGGCCCACTAATTAGGGATTCTTCATTTAATATTGCAGCTTGGGGAGTTACAAAAGGTTCTAATAGTTTATTTGCTTGGTTAGCTGAAAGATGGATTAAAAATGGCCCACTGTGAGTGAGCTGGAAATGCCTGATCTCTCTTTGTTTAATGTAGAGGAAGGGATGGTGGAGTGGATTAGTCTCTTTAGACCTACTCATCCCAGCTGGGAGGGTCCAGAAGATATACCCTTGACCAATGCTTTGTGAAATAGATTTGTGAAGGCAGCTCCTTCATCTTTGAAGAGCCCTGTAATTGCCCTTCTCTGTATGTCAGATCTAACAGTGGGAACTGCAGTCACTCAACTACAAAATTTAAATACAATTGGAATAATTGGATCCCGAGGTGGCAGGGGCCAAGTGGTGGCACTCAGCTGTCAAAGGCAAGCTGGGCATAGCTACTGTGATGGACAGAAGAGGCAAAGCAGCAATCAGAATAATCTGACTCCTGTCGAACTCTGGCATTGGCTAATTACAATGTTCCTAGAAATGATAGGAAGCCTACTGCATTCCTACTTAATTTATATAAGCAGAGAACTTCCAGACTAATTTGAATTATAAAAGCAGAGAATCATAGTCCCTCAATCAATTTCCAGACTTGAGCCAGTTCACATACCCAGAACCCCTTGAATGAAAGGGAGACCGGGTCCCCTTGAGGAAGGACCACTCTACACTACTGACAGTTTATGCTGTGAATCTTTCTCCCATCCTTCCCCAAGGAGACCTCCAGCCTTTTACCAGGCTAACTGTTCATTGGGCATAGGGAAATGATCAGACATTTCAGGGACTACTGGACACTGGCTCTGAGCTGACGCTGAGTCCAGGGGACCCAAAATGTCATTGTGGTCCTCCAGTTAAAATATGGGCTTATGGAGGTCAGGTAATTGATGGAGTTTTAGCTCAGGTCTGACTTACAGTGGGTCCATTGTGTCCCTGGACTTATCCTGTGGTCATCTCCCCAGTGCCAGAATGCATGATTGACATAGACATACTTAACAACTGGTAGAACCCCCACATTGGCTCCCTGACTGTAGGTTGAGAGCCATAATGGTGGGAAAGGCCAAATGGAAACCATTAGAGCTGCCTCCACCTAGAAAAACAGTAAATCAAAACCAATATCGCATCCCTGGAGGGACTGCTGAAATTAGTGCCACCATCAAGGACTTGAAAGACGCAGGGGTGGTGATTCCTACCATATCCCTGTTCAACTCTCTTATTTGGCCTGTGCAGAAGACAGATGGCTCTTAGAGAATGAAAATGGATTATTGTAAGTGTAACAAAGTGGTGACTCCGATTGCAATTGCAGTACCAGATGTGGTTTCATTGCTTGAGCAAAGTAACACATCTCCTGGTACTTGGTATGCAGCCACTGATTTGGCAAATGCCTTTTTCTCCACTCCTGTCCGTAAGGCCCACCAGAAGCAATTTGTCTTCAGCGGACAAGGCCAGCAATATGCCTTTATTGTCCT